TGCAGAATCACATCGGTTACACATCCACATTTTTACATAATGCCATATTAGTGACTGTTGTATTCTGCTACCTTTCCTATCCTCTACTATCCCCCTCCCCTTCCCTCCCATCTTCCCTCTCTACCCCATCTGCTGTTATTCAATTCTCTCCCTTGTTTTTTTTTCCCCTTTCCCCTCACAAACTCTTATATGTAATTTTGTGTAACAATGACAAAATCATGGAATTTGCAGGGAAATGGATGGCATTAGAGCAGATTATGCTAAGTGAAGCTAGCCAATCCTTAAAAAACAAATGCCAAATGTCTTCTTTGATATAAATAGAGCAACTAAGAACAGAACAGGGAGGAAGAGCATGAGGAAAAGATTAACATTAAACAGAGACGAGTGCTGAGTGATTTTAAGGGTTAATTAGTTCAAATTTACAGAGTGCTTGGAAAAGAACATGTGGTATACAGAAACTAATTAATAAAATATACACTTCATAAACATGTCAACCATCCCACCCTAATCTTCCCTTCTCCAATATATTGCTAGTTTATTTTTGTATTATGTATTTGCCTTTATGAGACCCAATAAAATATTTCTCTTGTTTTAATATCAATATTTTATCAAGTATTTCTTTTCTCAATAAATACAAATTGCATTTTGTTGGAATATTTCTACAGCTCAATCTCTTTAAAAATAAAAATGGTAAAATAAAAAGTTATATGGTCCTCATTAATCAAGAAGAAAATAAAATCAGATGGCTTTCAGTCCATTTTCCAGTAATGTATGAAATATTGGAAATGGTTGGTGTTTTATATATGTTTACTTTAGATTTAAATGAAATTTTTATAATGCTGTCTAAAATACAACCCAATTAAATTTCCAATGTCTTTGTTTTCATATGTCTGAATAAAACATTTGAAAAACTTATTCTGTAGTAATACAACCACCTTGCTAAGGAAATTCTGCAGGAGTTGGAAATGGTATCTTTTCTGTCTGTGTGGGGGTACATAAGTCTAGACTCTTTAGTAGAGGGTTGTTCTGGTTGAGTTTGGAATTCTTCCCCTGTTCTCCTAATGGCACTCTACAGGTAAGGGGGTGTTATGGACAGGCATAGAGCTATCATTTGAGAAAGTTGAATCCAGAGAATTTGAGAGAGCTACTTAAACCATGCAGCCAATGGCAGGTTAAAGTTCCCAGGACTTCTTTTCTATAACCTCTACTTCATTAATGGATAGCTCCATTCATGGGTAATTATGGGTAATTCTTAGCTTTTTGCCAAGACTGGGGCCAATTTCTCAGGAGCAGCCAAGATAATTTACTTAGACATAACAACACAGCTATGTAAAGCTGACCACAGTAGAGACTAGACTAAGACCAGTTTGTACATATCACCTCCTTTCTCTTCACAGGAGCTCTGGAAGATTCTGTTACAGCTTCCATTTTATAGATGGGAAATTGAATAACTCAGAGGTCACTTCACTTATATCTAGGAAGTTGTCAAACCACAAAAGGGGGAAAGAAGTAAATGGGATGAAAGTCCACATTATTATTTAAAAACAGGCATACTCTGTGTCTTTTTTGATAAGAGTCATAGGCAAACGGTGGCATCAGGAAACATTTTTGAAATGTGGGTTTAAGTTTGGGGAGCATGAATAGTATGAACTTGGCACTCATGTCTAGGGATGATCACAGTCGCTTTGCATAAATACATACATCCTTTCTGCCAGTGAAATATAGAACAATGCTTAAGACACTTGGGCAAATTATTTTCACCCAAGTATCAGCTACTGTTTATAAAATCCTATTAAGACACTGTTGCTGACAAGAGTTAGCACTGGGGAGCCAAACCGGTCCTTCCCTTATGTCAGTGATGTTCTTGTGGCTGACAGAATACTTATTCCTGGAGGTAACTGTTCTGAATTGTGCTTTGCCCCTTTCATTGTTACAAACTTGTGATGGAGAGTGGGTGGGAAGGACAACCTGTAATTCAGGGTGGTTTGGAAGCCAGTTGCCTAGGAAACTGAGATGAGCAGCATAATGCTCACCCAAACCAACTGTCAACAAGAGAGGGGATTTTCTGATTTGATCCAAGCTGCTTTCCAAATATATATACCTTGTGCCTCTAGTGGAGCCTATAGGACCGTTGGCCCTTGGTGAGCATGCGGGAGTGGGCCACAAGTTAGTGGATAGGAAATTTTTCATCAACTGTGCTGACAAAATATTTGGGAGGGGGCATTATGCTGCCCTTAAAATGAGTTTGTAAGAGGATAAGGTGATCAAGTGAAGAAGAATTTACATAGCATAACATACAGGCAGTTGGTGATCATAACTTATGTGCATCCACATTTATAGCAGCAACGCTTACCTTTTTTTTTTTAACATAAAAGTTTCATTTGCTGCAATCCACTGCTCCCTGCTCTTACTCCATGCACACCAGATGCTCTGGTTTATAGTAATTATCTTCAAGAGTAGCACTTAGACATTCATAAATCCTTGATGAAAATGGTATCTAATTTCTCAAAACTTTTAAATGATGCATATTTAATTTTTTATTTGGAACGTTATCATACATGTTCACACATATATTTTGTAAGTCTGTATGTACATATTTTAGTTGAACCATTTTAAATTGCTGATATTAGAGACTGTGACAATAATAGCAATTTTGTATAGTTCAACTCATAAATACATAGAAGAAATTATAGAATAAGATTTTTTTGAATTTTTTTCCCCAATTTTTCATGGATCTCCTACTTCCTCTTTCCCTTCTCTACTTCCTACTTCCCTATATCCTATCCTATCCCACCCTCACTCTCTTTTTGCCCCGCGGGCAATCCACATTATAACCAACTATATAACTTCTACACTCCTTGTTATAATTTGGGTCTGGAATGTTCCCCAAAGGCTAATGTGTTTAAGACTTTGATGCCCAATGCAACATTACTCAGAGATGGGGCTTTGGGGACGTTACTGGGTATGAGAGCTCTGATCCCATCATTGGATTAATCCATTCAAGGATTCGTAACTGAATGGATTATGGGGAGGCAGTGGAACCTACCTGGAGGGAGTAGGTCCTTGAGGGCTTACTCTTGGTGACTATGCTTGTCCCTGGCCCCTTCCTTTCTCTCTGTTTCTCTGCTATATGAAGTGAACAGCCTTCTTCCGCCAGGCCCTTCCACCATGATGTTCTGATTCACTCAGACTCAAAGCAATGAAGTCAGCCAACCATGAACTGAAGCCTCTGAAATTGAGCCAAGTAAGGCTTTCCTTCTTTAAGTTGTTTTGTCAGGTACTTTTCACACTGATGGAAAGCTGATTCACACACTCACAGACTCAGATAAAAGTATGTCTATGTATCCATGTTCATACTAGTGAGAAAAGCTACGATATGGAATCTCTGACTCCAAGATTGATTTGGGGGTTTGTTTGCTTTGCCTGTTATCTATAGCTAGATATTCTTTTTCCTGCCTATGAATATTGCTTCTCTTTTTCCTCCTATCATTAATGGATTTCAGCCTGTTTTTAAATATTCCCCTTATTGTTTTTTAACATTAATTCACTTGAATTCTAATTCTCTTATATGTGCTAGAAACTACTTACAAATGATTCAAGCTGTAAAGCATGGTACCATTTCACAAAAGTGGGTTCATTCTTCTTTTCTGGTTTCCCAATTTTGCCTCCACAGCGTAACCTATTATTTTGCAAAGTTAAGGATAAGCACTTTGAGAAGGAAATACTTTGGTCGGTCTTCTGTAAAAGACCCAAAATTTCATGCCATTTCCCTCAAGGACAGATGACCTCCCCAGAGTTATTTCTCTGGTTCCCCACCATCAACAGAAAGTTAAAAGTCAGTTAGGCAATAGGGCCATATGATTACACCTGGTGATTTATGTCATATGTGATGGTCTTTGAAGTCTTATGATTTGTAAGGGGCAGTTCCACCACAGAAGTGACAGGAGATCTTACATTCTTCCTCTTAGCCAAGGGCAGCTTCTCTTCTCACTGCCAACTTCCATCACGATTGAGCCCCATTCTTCTGATAGGGGATGATATTTATCTTAGTGAGAGAGCTTCACTCAACAAGATGGGAAATTTTCTGTGACACTGGGCCACAGGGTTATTCTGGGACTATACCACTGTTTTCAACAGAGGGAAAACAGAGGGAGAAGGCAAGGAGGGCTCAGGGTCAGGGGCTCACCACTTTTTCCATTCCGCCCTGACTTACCTCTTTATGCATCTGTGCAAGTCTGTGGTCACATACAAATACCTGCTGTTGCCCTATCGCTTGTCAATGGGTTATAGCTCCTTCTCCTGTGTGGAAACGAAGCGTTTCGTAATGAAGTAGAATGTCAATTACCAGGAGCTGTGAATTGAAGGTCTCTGGGGAGCAGCTTAGAAAGCTCCGTTCCTGAGAGCTGTGATTGGTATGCCTGATAGGGTTTCCTGGGTGAGTCATCTATCCTCAGTAGTGTGGACCCTGGCCAGGGAGAACACGATTCACTCCAGTTCTCCTGTGAGTGAGGGATGTTATTTACTTGGAAGCAGAGTCTACCCTTCTTCTGCCTGTCAAAGGGTTTCAAAGCTGCTGTACAAGGAACAGGTTCAGAACACCGACTTCAGTGACTAGTGACCCTTGTCCTCCCCTTCAGCAGAAAAATTCCTAAATAGTCCTAGGGGAAAAGAAGCAAATCCTGACAACTGCTTGCAGATCATCTTAGAACTCAGTCCCAGAAGAAATGTTTTTAGGTAGGAGGAAAGAGTGAGGCAAAATAAATAAATGAATAAAAAAGGAAAATAAAATTAAAAAATCCAAGAGACTGGTGTACAGAAGGGTAGCTATTTGTAGCTCACTCAGGTGTGCTCTGAAGGTCAAATCCCTACATCAGCATTTGGTAGGAAACCCTTAAGCTTCTCTACCTTTTAGAAAGCACAATTTAATCTCTCCCTCCTCTCTCTCTCTCAAACACACACACACACACACACACACACACACACACACACTTCATACTTCATATGATCCCACCTGCAAGTCTCCCAGGGAGGCAGTTTCTATGGCCAGGTGATGTTCCAAGGAGGCTGTAATTTCATAAACCTACCAAGAAGATTGACGTGGGAGGCTCCTTAATTTAAGTCCTGGAAGGCTTTTTCTATTTTCTTTGGGAAGTGTGTGAATAATTGCAGTGCGGCTTTGCGTCCAAAACTGGACAGTGAATCAAACAACAACGTCGACAACAACAGCTCTTATCCGGGCCACCATGGAGTTTCTTGAAAGAACTTCCCTGGTGAATGACAAAGCCCCTAAGATGTACGCCTTCACACTAGACAGGTAACAGACATCTCTGTCTGCTTCTTCACGTTCGATGCCTTAAATATTCAACAAATGCTCGGACGCTGTTGCTTCTGAGTGTTTTGCAACTTGGGGGCATTTGGGAACATTTTAGAAGCAACTGATTGACTCATATAATACATACTCTGAAAAGTGCAACACTCTATATAGTTGATTTGATTCCTTAAATATCTATTAAGTGCATGATGAAAACATTTTTAGTAAAGCATTTTTTCCTCTGGTCTTTTTTATTTTACAGAAAATAGACATATACCATCTAATATATTTGCTTTTCCTTCTCTCAATTACTCTCCAATTCTAGATCATAAAATGTATTAGTTATATTTAGAAACAATTAAGTCTTTACTACAATGGGGGAAATTATGGTTATATTGATCATAAAATTAATTATTTTATATCAATACATATGTTATAGTAAACATTGCAAAATTTAATGTTCTACAGTTTCAATTCCTTTTACTATCTCCCACAGTGCTATATGCAATGTACTTGTTCATTTTTTTCATATTCAACAAATTGATTGGATGTACCTGTGCTAAATTTTGGATGTATGACAAAAAAGAAAATATTCCTGGTCCTAGGTTTCTGTCCTCTTGAAACTTTAGAGTCTATTGTAGAATACACATAAGAAAGGGCAATTAAAAATAGCATGCTGGGGGCATTTGATGAGACTACATCAAGGGAACCTAGGTCTTGGTTGAACTTTGGCTTCAGAGCTTTTTTTCCTCCAGAAGTTAACAGCCTAAGGATTGGAAAATAAAATGGAATTGGAGTAAGTTTGGGGGTCCCTGCATAGAATGTGGGATCAGAGAATGTATATCAGATTGAGACCATGGCACAGTAAAGAGAGAAACGTATAAGAAAGAGATCTTGGCGTGTTTTGGAAGATCAATCAGAACGGGGACTTATGAGAAACACACTCAGTATATACAAATAAATGAATTAACATCTGAAATGAATTCGCCTTGGGAACAGAATTTAAGAGAATACTTACTCATAAATAACCTGTAAATATGTAATGCTTTTGTTTGTTTCCTGGAACCAAATTAATATTATAAAGAATAGCAATATATGTTTGATAGCATCAAATATTTTAGTAACTGCAAAGCAATTTTTTTCTAAAGGATATTTATAAGTTTGCTTTTTAAAAAACTATTTAACAAAGAATCTAGCATCTGTATTATCTCATATTGGAATAGCTATTTCTTAGATGAGATGTAATTTATTTTGGTCATGAACACCAAAAACAAAGCCTTATGTTAAGTCAGGCAGAAATTTTGGGTGACAAATTTTTAACACTAAGGACATTGCTAACAGATCATCTCTATGTCATAGAAACCACAGTATTTCTTTTCTTGTTAAGATAGACTATTAGCACTCTGTGGCCTGTGTGTGCACACACACAAACATACACACACACACACAAAACCATTTATTGTTATAGTTCTCATTCACCTCATCAATGGGCATGGTTTTCAAGACATAGTATTTTTCGAAGTCATCTTTATTTGCTGGTCAAATAAAAAGACTAAATCTGGAGATGATTTACCCTGCTCCTTCTTTTTACTAGGTAGGCAATGAGTACCAGAGATAGCAAATGCTTTGTTTAAGGTCAGATGGCTCAGTACGGCAGAGCTGAGATGCAGACCCAGGCCTTCTGTTTGTCAGCCTAGGACTCCCCTTTCATCTGCACCTGCACGTCCATCACGTGCCCTCTGCATCCTTCACCTAGCTCCTCCTGAGGTCCTGTACACCTCAGTTCTCCCGCTCATTTCCTTTGCATACCTCGTCCATCTCCTTTGTCATGTATTTTCCCCTGTCTCTATTTCATAAATGACTTTGTTCCTTCATATTCCTTCTCTTTTCTCCTTCCTATCTTTTCTTCTACTCATCACTAGATTGCTATTTAAAGTTTTACCTACTGTTAATTAATCTGGAGGAAACTTTACCCTGTAATTCCACAAAGGGAGTGTTTCATGTATCTGTTGTTATCCAACAAACTATCCCCAAATATGGTGGCTTGAGCAACATTTCATTTTACTACTCATGATTCTGTAGTTTGGAATTGGGGTGGACTCCATTTGGAATCTCTTGGCTTTTCCCAGGAGGCTGCATTCTATTGGTGTCTGAGCTGGGCAGCAAGGTCCAAGATGGCTCCACCTGCATGCCTGGGGTCTAGGTGCTGGCCTTTGTCTATGGTCTTGTTCTTCTTCCCATGGCTTCTTTCTCTTTATGGTGGCTCACTTTATCAGGTTAGCCTGGAATTCTTTATATGGCAGTGCAGGGTAGCAAGAAAGCAGCTGTGGATACTGACAGCTCTCAGATAGGCTAGGTCCAACCCTGGCAGAGCATCATTTTTACCACCCTTAATGTATTAAAGCAAGTCTCAAGATTCAGATTCCAGAGGTGGGGCAAAAGATTCCAACTATTGATGGCATGTATAGATAGGATGAAAAGTCATTGGAGTTCATTTTATACACATTTTTACTACAAGAAATCTTAGTAGTGGGCCCTGTAGGTACCATGAACACTATTGTGCACTCTTCACTTTCTTCTCAATTCCTGTTTCAGTAATGGGATTCATGGTAGCAAAATGATATTTGTGTAAAATTGACATACACAATTGATATGTTTTCTTGGCCCTGGGTGGGAGGAATAGGGTTTCTCTTTTTCTTCAAATCATATATTAAAGCAATGCAGGGAAGCTAGGGCAGGGACAGCTGGTAGGGATAAACTGCTGGAGTCTTTTCAACAATGATTTAACTGGTGAAAATTTACATATTCTATCTATCTTATCTATCTATCTTAAGGACATGCAGAAAATTGAATATTACTTATTCAAGAAAACCCACCAAGTCTTAGTGAGAAGTGAGAGTTAGGGGCATTTAAGTCAAGACCTGTCTATTACCTCCTCCCATCCAAAAGTGCAGTGTGATGGTAGCTGTGCTTTGAATAGTTGTAGCCAAAAGACAGAGATACCTCTCCTCCCAGATTCTAATTGAAGGCTATAGTTCATCCTTGTAGGAAAAAGTATTTTGAATCACTTATTGCTCCAGATTTATATTTCAGAACCTCTATGTAACATGTATGTGGCAAAAAAGGAAGATGGTTCCCTTTCTTCACCCAACCCACACTCATAGGGTAAAATGTCTACTCAGTAAGGTTCAGAATACTCCTGTCCCAGCTTGCTCATAAAATAGAAGTTCTGTTTTAGGCAGCACAAGCAAAGAACACCAGGGGTTAACATCTTCATTTAGCACTCTACTTACAGAGTAAGTGTCACTCCAAGAGAACTAGGTCACTCTCCAACCCACCTGCTCTTGGTGAATGGTGCAAAAATAAGGCACAAGAATAAAGAGCCATGTATCTTTCCATTTGATGATTGATGGTACACAAGTTGAAATAATACTGGAACAAAGAATAGGGATTTTCAAGCATAAGAGTGCTGCTATTGAAAACAACAAAGACTTTTCTGGTGAGCAATTATGAATAGGCTGATTGCTCCATTATAGTAACAAGTTAAAGGTAGAAGAGATAGATGTTTAACAGAAGTAGATAAGGTAGGACAAAGGTAATAAGAGCCCTTCTGGACTTGGTGCTAACCTCAAAAGTTAGCCTCAAATACCCCTAAAATAGTCTGTTATTAAATAAATGTTTAAGTTCTCCCTAAATTCATATGTTGAAGCCTGAATGCTCAATGGGGCTAAATTGGAGATGGGGCCCCTAAAGAATGGATTAAGGTTAAATAAGGTTGTAAGAGTGGAGCCTTTATCTGAGTAGATTAGTGTTCTTATAAGAAGAGAAAGCAGAGAGATCATTTTTTTCTCTTTGTGGATGTATGCTGAGGAAAATCTCTTTTGAGAATATAACCAAAAAGCAGATATCTATAAGCTATCAAGAGATACCTTCTCTAGAAACTGAATTTGCTAGTGCCTTGATCATGAGGTTTCAGCATCCAGAACTGTGAGAAAATAAAATTCTGTTGTTTAAGTCACCCGATCTATGGTATTTTATTATAGCAGCTCAGGCTGACTAATGCAGGGCACAAATTTATTGGAACATTTGGTGTCTCAAGGCATTGTTGAAAACTGTGGAGTAGTCATCAAGCAATTAAAGAGGCCAAAATCTGAGTGTAATACCAATATAGGCAGAGTAATCAGAAGCTTAATACTGAAGCCATAAGAAGAAGCAGTCAAAATGAACACAACCAAAATAGTCTCCATTCCCAAGGGATGAAAGAAGGATAAGGATGACTGTGCATGTGGCCAACAATGTATCTAAGAGGCATGACAATAGAGTCCGCACATTGAATAAATCCAGAGAAAATAGATTCCACTATACTAGACAAGCCACTAAACAAATAATAAGTAAACAATAATAAAAAGTCAACAAGGAGGCTGGGGTTGTGGCTCAGTGGTAGAGCACTTCCCTAGCATGTATGAGGCACTGGGTTTGCTTCTCAGCACCACATATAAATAAATAAAATAAAGGTCCATTGACAACTAAATAAAATGTTTTAAAAAAGCCAACAAGGAATCGGTATTCAGAATTACCACAACACACTATATAAAATTTCCAGTTTTCAACAAAATTTCATGAGATGCAAAAAACAGGAAAGAACAACCTATATTTGGTAAAAAGCTAAGCAATAGAAACTGCCTTTAAGGAGGCCCAGATATTAGACTTGGAATTCAATGATTTAAAACAAATATTATAAATACACTAAAACCATTAAAGGAAATAATGTTTATGGAATTAAAGATAGATGTGATCATAATGTTACATCAAATGGAGGATATCAATTAATAGAATATATTAATTTAAAAATGTATATAAAAATGTAAATTCTAGGATTTACATGTATAATAAACGAAATTTTATAAAATTGATGAAGGGGCCTAACAGTAGAACTCTTCTACTGGCAGGATGCAACAGAGAAAAAGAATCAATAATCTTGAAAATAGAGCAATAGATACTATGCAACAAAGAATAAAGACTGCAAAGAAGTTAATATAAACTCAGGGAAATGTGATATGGAATCTAACACATTAACATAAGCATAATAGGAACGCAAGAAGGAAAGTGAGAAAGGAGAAGAAAAATATTCAAAGAAATAATGGCTGAAAGTTTTTTAAATTGGGTTATGTCATAGTTTCTTACTACAAATCCAAACTATAGGTGACAACATAAAATTTATACAAATAGGAAAGCATTGAAATAAAATATTTCATTCTACAAATAATACCATCAAGAAAAATAAACCATGGGTTAGGAGAAAATATTTGTTAATTATCAGATTAAGGCTGTGTATCAGAATAAATAAAAGATTATTATAATTTAATATTTTAAAGATAAATAAATGAACTTAAAAATGTGTGAAGAATTCAGATAGATATTATACATTTATTAAATAAATAAACGTATAATAAGCATGTTAAAACACATTAAATATACTCAACATCATTAATCATCAGGGAAATAATAATCAAAATCACAGTGAGATAACTACTTCATAACCAGTAGGATGTTTACACTAAAGAAAAGATAAAATAAAACAATAACAAGTGTTGGCAAGGATATGGAGAAATAGGAGTTCTTATATGTTGTGTGTGGGAATGTAAAATGGTACAGTGCTTTGAAAGACAGTCTGGTAGTTTCACAAGGTGTTCAACATAGTTATGATATGACACAAGAATTCCATCCCTAGGTATTTATTCAAGAGAAATAAATGACTTGCATAAAATTTTCATAGAAGTATTATTCATAATTATTCCCCTGAACCCCCAAAGGAAACAATTAACAAATATATGAAATAGTATATATCCATTCCAGGGAGTATTACTTGGAAATAAAAATAATGAAATATTGATGTAGTGATATTTGCTATATTATGGATGAACCATGAACACATTATGCTGAATGAAAGAAGCCATTCACTCCATTTATGTAAAATGCAAATGTATAAAGACAGAATGTAATTAGTGGTTGCCTGAAGAGATGGATGTCAGGAGACTAGAAAATTACTGCTAATGGATAAAGCGTTTCTTCTTTTGGGTGCTGACCATCCAACTCTGAATATGCTAAAAACCATTATGTTATATATATTAAATGGGTCGGTCCTTTGCATGGTAGGTGAATTTTATCTTAATAAAGCTGCTAAAAGGTGGATGATTGGTTCATTTCCAGGACAAGAAGTTACATCTAATTATGTGAACATGCCTGTCCCCCTGTTTCCCCTAAACTACTTCTTTCCCCCCTCAAACTGCTTCTTTCACATCACTCATTTATTTCACAAACATTAAGTGAGATAGAATCCCAACACATATGTACTGGACATCTACTATGTTTGAGAAAGGCTTCCATGCTCTGAAAGTGCAGGATTATCTCAGGGCAGACAAGGAGAGTAGGTAAGCAGGGGAAACAGAAGCCAAGATATGCTAAGGAATTACAGAAATGTTCTCTCCCTCTGTGACATTTATTCTTCTTTAGGAACAGAGAGTCCATCTCCAATCTTGTTGTCACTGGAGTTGGCTAGAATAATGGGTGCAGACAAAGGGAAAGCCAAAAAATTTTGTTTTTTGATTATTCAAGGCTGTTTGAGTCAGCTTTTTTGCTTCTGTGACTGAAAGAATTGTAGAGGAGGAAAAGTTTATTTGGAGGCTCACAGTTTCAGAGGTCCCAGTCCATTGACAACCACCTCCATTCCTTGGGGGCTTGAAGTGAGGCAGACAGAACATCACTACAGAAGAGTGTGGTGGAGAGAGAAGCAGCTCATATGATGATCAGAAAGCAGAGAGATTCCACTCTCCAGCTATAAACTATGTACCCCAAAGGCTCATCCGCAATGCTCTACCTCCTCCAGCTGCATACTTCCTGCCTTCAGTTCCCACTCAGTTAATCATATCATGGGATTGATTTGCTGATCAGATTAAGGCTTTCATAACCCAATCACTTTACTTCTAAGTTTTTATGCTTTGTCTCATACATGAGCTTTTTGGGGACACCTCATATCCAAACTGTAATAAAGGCTTAATTATAAAAGTGCTTATTCCAAAAGTCGTTTTCAAACATACTTTATTCTTTTGGAAGAACAATGGCAATAATAAAATGCAGTTCCATTATTTAAGAACAACTTTAAAAAAATGTACACTTATCTTGTTCCAGACACACTTGAAGTATTTCTATGAACTAGCTACATCTCACAGCCACCCTGTGAGAGATATGCTATCATGAGGAAATTAAAGCACAGAGAGGTTAAGTAATTATCCTACAGTCATAAGATTAGTGAATGGTAAGGCTGGGAGTTCATCTTAGGTGGTGGGATGCCAGCACCCACGTCCTCAGTCTCCACACTACTGCCATCTACTTAACCCCATCTCAGGAATCTGTATGCCCATCTTCTTGATGTTCTAAATAGAAACTTATGAGACATCTTTAAGTCCCACCCTTCTCTTGTTCCCTTTAACTGACATTGTATATTAGTAAGCCCTGTTGATTGTATCTCACTTTAGAAAATAAAAACCTACCTAAGATTATACAAATAAAGCTTCATTTTCTAAATCCTATTTAAACAGATTAATTCAGTTCAAGACTACTTGCATAAAATTTCTAATGTTTCTTTTATCTCTGCTCCTCTCTCTACCTTTTCTTCTTGATGCACTTTAGCCTATTATTCCTACTCTTCAAAGTTTTGACCACATTTGAATGCATGAGAGTCTATTGGGATTTATTCGTTAATAGCAAATTCATATTTCATTTTTTGATGCCTCATAGCATTTACTATTTTTATAACCCTTTAAAATAATACTTCTTAGAATTCCCATTGTTTTTCAGATCCAGAGCCTGTTCTGCATCTAGAGACATCTAGATCATGTTGCTTTAATGAAGTGATGAGGAATGTATTTTAACTTTGTTTTTTAACTTCTTGTGGGGTCATGGACCCTTTTGGGAACCACTGAAGACTGTGAGCTAGTGCCTCTCACTGAATACACACACAGACACATATAAATATCATATCCAATGCTAAATCCAACCAGGCTGACTCTGATAGCTGAGAATAGGGTAAATTCTACCCAAACCACATGATTGCAACTCAGTGGATATGAATGACAGGAACACAGCAGGATCCTAACAGAGATGCAGCTTCAGAACCTGATTCCTAGTTCTACATAGTTACAATCTTATCAGTGTTAAATCTTCTATATCATTACTTTTAACTTTATATTTAATATAGATGTGTCTTGTAAACTAAGCTCCTCCTTTCCTTCTCACTCCTACAGTTAGAGACCATGAATTCAAATCTAACCTACTGATATGATTACCAGCAATTTTTCTCTTGGTTTTGTGTTTTTTTGTGAGTCTAGATTTTCTATAATGAATATGTCTGCCTATCTATCTATCTATCTATCGCTTATTCATTCCAAAAATATGATATAATGTTAGAGGCCACATAATAATAATCAGCTAAACTCAAACCATCAGGTTTTTAATGGTAATAAGCCAAATGAAATCACTTCTCAAGCAGAAGCTAATTTATTGCCCTGTTCTCTCTTTTTTCTTTTTCCTTCCTTCCTTCCTTCCTTCCTTCTATGCCCCCCCTTCTTTCTTTCCTTTCAGATCTAGAACTGTGAAGTTCTTAATTCCAAGAATCTCATTAATTATTTTAAATAAGTTTATTTTAAAATTTAAAAATCTTATTAGTTTAAGATCCTTGGACACTGACATCTCCATGAGTAAAAATGGGTTTCAGGCATACTGATATTGGGATAGGGAAGCAGCACGTGGAATGGTAGAAGGACAATGGGTTTGGCCTTTCTGCCCTATCATTTCCTCACCATTGAACCTCCGCCAGTTACTTAACCTCTCTGAACCTTAGTTACTTCAGCTGAGAAATTCTGCAGTTGGATTAAATGCTATCTACGATCTTTCCATTTATGAAATTCTAGGATTCCATGAATGGCTCTAAATCACACTTTATGGCTCTGGCAGAACTGATACTCACGGCCTACTTTGAGAAGGGTGAGCAGGTTTCACTCTAGCATGACGTTGATTGGTAGAGTTTGTCTACCAAGGAGTGGTGGTAAGAAAATTTTTGAAGGTCCGTACGGACTCAGAAGGACAAGTAGTAACCGGGTTGCCATGTGCCTGAACCCTCAGTCAGTCTCACATAAACATATCATGCAATGTCCCCTGGTAGATTTTATTATCGCCCAGTTCCAAGTGAAATAACTGGGGAAGTCTTGCATTAAAGTCGATCTTCCTCTTTTTTCCTGCCCTTTGATGTCTCTTAATCATTGGTTGATATGGATAAGAAAATGTTTTCGCTGAATAAAAGTAAAACTTGCAGTACTTGTGGATACAGAAGGGAATGCCTTGCTTGCTCCAAACACTCGATACTTTCTTGTAGGGGGATCTGTGAACTAAAACTTCCGGGCTGGTTAGCAAACGTCTTAACAGCAGCTCTGAGAACAGCAGGGCTGTCTGCGAGGGGTTTGCAATGATGCTCACTTCTTGCTTCTGTCAAACCCAACCACAGTGCGGAACTCCAACAGAAACCTGTGAATAAAGATCAATGTCCTGGAGAGAAGCCAGAGGCACCTGAGGCAGGAGGCATTTATCACTGCCACAGCAACTCCAAGGCCACGGAGAGCAGGGTGAAGGAGCAAGCGCACGCCAAGTGGAAACTCTGCGCGGCCTCGGCAATATGCTTCATCTTCATGATTGCGGAGTTCGTGGGTGAGTACTGCCCGGGAACACTCCCCCGGCTAACCCAGCAAACAAACGGAATCCTGCATCATTATGGGAGGGTTGCCTAAGTTCTTCCTTAAGCGTAAGGTTTAATATTTTCTATAAGAATAAAGTAACAATATGCTTACCATAGATAAGTTGGAAAATAGAAGAAGGCAAAACAAAATCATTATTTTAACCATTTGAGTGTTAACCTCAATAACATTACCGAATATTTTCTGCAATATATTTTTTTATGCGTGGCTCACAGGTTGTTTCTTTTACATAATGGAGAGCATATTGAACGCCTTTCACTATGCCTTCACATACTGTTCCAAAACATTTTTATGCCTGAACAATATTCTATAATATGCTCACTGTAATTTACATAACCATTTCTCTGTTTTTTCTTCCTTGTGGACAAGACTGCAATGAAAAATCTTGAATAAACTCTGCCTGCCTTTCTGTTAATCCTTTCAAAGCAATTTCTTGAAGTAGAAATTATTTGTTGAAGGCCACTGTTTTAAATCAGCTTTTTCACTGCTGTGGCCAAAAGACCTGACAAGAATAGTGTAGAGGAGGGAAAGTTTATTTGGGGCCCATAGTTTCAGAGGTCTCAGACCACAGATGTTCAATCCATGGTCACTTGGAGCCATCCTTTCTGGGCTTTTCATGAGGCAGAACATCATGGAGGAGAGCACACTGCTTACCTCATGGCAGTCGGGAAGGAGAGAGGAGAGAAAGAGAGAGAATATGAATATGAACAAAATCCACTCTTCAAGCCATCTAGACTCCTCCCCACCAAAATTCTACCACCTCCCAACAGTCCATCAAATTATGAATTATTAATCCACTGATAAGGTTAGAACCCTCATGTTCCAATCACTGCCCAAAGGTACCCCCTCTGAATTTTACTGCATGGGGAATTAAGCCTTCCACACATTAGCTCCTGGAATCAACATGAGATTCCAGATCCAAAGCATAGGTGTCTTTTACCTTTTAATTTTTGCTTTGCCTTCTAAAAGTTTTAAATTTTACATAAGTAGTATATAAAACTTTTCATTCTGATTTATTTTAGTATACTAATGTTTAATAACCCTTCCCCTTTTATTGAGAAGATAAATGACATGTTTAATAGTTGTTCAAATTTTAGCATTTAATTTTTAAATCAATGTGAAAGTAAAATGGATTGAAATTCTTTTTTTTTTTAAATAGCTAACAGTTCTTAGCCTAACTTATGGTAAAATAATTTTCCTCATTAATAATTGATTGTTTATTATCTATCAAACTTTTATAAATAGTAAAGTATATATCTAAGGTCATTCATTGATCTGAGTTCCTATTCTCTCAATAACATAATTGATGTAGAATTTTTATATTATAAAATCTGTTGTATCCTCCTATTCTTAAGAGGAAAAAATAACAGCTATTTATTCCTGTTTGTTATTCTAATTAAACATGCATCATTTCTTTCAGTTCTCCCACAAATCTAATTATGATTTTATTGAATATAAGTTAATTTAAGAATACAAATATTAGTTGAATAATTAAAATTTAACTATAGTTTTCTCTTTGTTGTTCTTTTCCTAAGTTTTTAAATTTTAAAATTATGTGTGCTAAAATGGAAAACAATTCTAATAATTTTCCATCCATAAAGAAACCAAACAACTTATAAAATATTATAGTTATCTCTTTCTTTTTAGATAACACCATATATATATATATATATATATATATATATATATGTATTTCATAACTGTGGACAATTGCTCATGTAAGAGATGACAAAATGTAAACTAAGCTCCTCCTTTCCTTCTCACTCCTACAGTTAGAGACCATGAATTCAAATCTAACCTACCTAGAGTCAGAAGTATGTCAGTAGGGGAATGACACTGGTACTGACAATTATCTGGATTTTGAAGGTATTGATATTAAGCTGATTTTCCTAAAACATTGCTCTTATCATGTTATTACTGTCTTCAAAATTCTCCACGTGGCTTCGCTTCGTCTAGTTCAGTGGTTCAAAGACTTTTCCCTGTTTCGGCAAGCAGAGGGAATTTTGCTGAACACTGGCCTAAACTGATAAGGGTGCTTATAGCTGGAACAGACTGGTTTACAAGCTGCCACTGCGTTAGATCTCACTTGGCATACCCAAGTAAAAAGAAATCAATATATTGGAAAGCTCTGGCATCTATAACAAAATGAAAAATTCTTTCTTTGGTTTCTCAGACATTCTACAATCTTTCTACCAAACTGACTATTAATTCTTACCCCATCCTTACCTGACTACTCAGTTTTAGTCAGGGCACATATTCATTCTCTTCAAAATACCTATAGTACCTTGGAGTCCCAATAGCTTTTGCTTTAGTTGTTGTTGAATGCAAAAATCCTATTCTTATTCTCTACAGTAGTTGAAATCTTGGCCATAATTCAGGACTTCGATCCACAGTTCACCTCCTCTCCAAAGCTGTTCTTGACCCTATTCGAGAAAGTAATTATTACTTTTCAGACCACTTTTGGGAATCCAGGAAGTCTTTCTGCAGGATGTAAGCTTTGAGAAAGCCCTGGGTAGAGACTGAAATGTGGACAAACAGAAGATAAGAAGTGTTTTTCAGATGGAAGGGCCTGAATAAACAGTACCCTATTTACTGCTGTAGTCCAAGAGGTGATAAATATGAGACCTTACCTTGAAAGATTTCTAGTGGATAGGTGGGAAAGAGAACAGGGAATGATGTGTTTAGTAATGTGGGTGCCATTGTTTGAAGTGGCCAGCATTTCCAGTTTATCAAGCCTTCTCATCCCCTTTATTCTGGTTGTAATTCTGATCCTTTTGGCTTGAGTTCTTCTTGCTCACAGGAAGGACTGTGGGATGCCAAACTGGCTTTCAATCAATCTCTGGGTCTTCATAAAGGAAGGCTGAGTAAAAACTCTCGGCCTCTCTTCTACGACCACTAAGTTAAAGATATAGACACCTGGAGCTTCCAGAGACCCACCTTTCCCATGGAAAGGGAGGAAGTCTGTCTATTTTAGCATAGTTAAAGGGTAACAACTGAAGACAGAGCAGAGTCCTGATGACATTTTTTAAATCTAGGAGATGGCTATATCTGATCCAATCCCACACAGATTTTTTTTTCTCATTTAGGTGAGCCAATAATTATGATATCACTGTTGTTTAAGCTTGTTTGGATTAGCATCTATCTAAAGGCAGTGTTAAGTGCAGTAGTTACTGGGGGTATAAACAGAATGGTAGTTGGAGGGTCAAGAAAAATTGAGGCCTAGCTGGGGAATGAAATTTATCCTATAAGCCTCAGGGAGAAATTGACATTTAGAACAAGGAGAAGTAAGTCACTGAGCTGTGTTTAGGGAGATCACTTTCACAGGGTATAAAGCAGAAGGAAGAAAGAACTAAGAAGGGAAGGATTTGAGCATAATATGTCCACTCTTCATGGGCCTTTGAACTTTTTGAGTCAGGGCTGTTTTTGGTTACTTGTAAAATTCCTCACTGCAGAAAAGCCATAAGGAGGAGTTATTATGCTGCAGATGGAAACTCATATCTCTGAAAAGATGAACACCCAGACACTGAGAACTCAGAAAAATAAGCTCAAGTATGTCATTGCTGGAAAAAATGAGGATGGTCAGGGAGAGGCATCAGAAGCAGGCTTATTCAGGGCTGAACAGGGTAGAGAAAACAAGAGATAACATGACAGGAATACAGAGCTGAGAGCATGCTGGGGAAGATGATAAGTATCTGAGAGCAAAAATTTTCTCACTTACTAAGAGAAAGATATAGCTGGGTGGGATGAGAAACGACATGCTTTTGGATAAGGGTACAGCCAGGGTGTCTCAGTGGCTATTTTTCAAGGTTCTTAAAAACTTAAGAAATGTTAAAACATAGCTATAAAATCTGTGGTAGATTTTAAATACTCGTTAAACAATAACTCAATGAGATTTTGATAAAGTATATTATATAGTACAGTATAATACTTCTATCCATAAGATAATTAAAATAGATTTTAAAATGTCAATTAATAGTATGCAATGTAGTGTAGCCCAGTAATGGGACACAAGTTTAATGTTGTCAGATAAACAGTCGCCTTTTACAGTCAGTCCTTTTACAGTTGCCTTTTACAGTCCTCTGTTCTCTGTGGAAAATATTATGGGGATTGTTATGGGTTATATATGAGGTATCCCCAAAAGCTCATGTATGAGACAATGAAGAAAGTTTAAAGGTGACATGATTGGATTATGACAGGCTTGACCTAATCAGTGCATTAATCTGCTGATTTAGGGATTAGCTGGGTGGTAATTGTAGGCAGGAGATGGTCACTGGGGGTGAAACTTGGGGGTTTATATTTTGTCCCTGGTGAGTGAGAGCTCTCTATGATTCCTGGTAGCCATGTCTTGAACTACTTCCCTCCACCACACACTTCTTCTGTGATGTTATTATGCCTCCTTTGGGGCCCAGAGCAATAGAATTGGCCATCAATGGACTGAGACCTCTGAAACCAGGAGCAACAAATAAACTTTTCTTCCTCTAAAATTGTTCGTATTAGGTATTTTGGTCACAGGGGCAAAAAAGTTGACTAAAACAGAAATTGTTCCCAAGAAGTGAGGTTGTTGGTGTGACTAACCTAATCAAATGGTTCAGAAGCCTTTAGAGTTGGTTTGTAGGAGAGGAATTTAAAAAAGTTTAGAGATGCAAGTTGGAAAAGCTTTAGATTGTTGTAAGCAGAGTTTAATGTGTGATTCTGGTGGGAGCTCAGAAGACCAGAATGCTAATAGGTTCTTGGACAGTAAAGACTGAGCTCCAGATGTTTCAGAGGACAAGAAGGATTCTACTGGCAATTAGAATAGAGGACATTCATGTTACATTCTGACTAAGAGATTGTCTATATTTTGCCCATGTACTGAGGCTTTATGTGAGGCTGAACTTAAAAGCAATAAATTTCTCAATTTGGCATAAGAAATTTCTAGGTAGCATAGCATTCAGACAGTGACATGGATATTGTTAGCAGTTTTTAGTGAAGTTTACTGTGCTAATCAGGAGCAGAAAACAGCAGAAAGATTTGGAAAACTTGCAGCTTGACCAGAAAACTGTGAGTACAACTGGCGTTAAGGAAGCTGTGATAGTTAAAAAAAAAAAGAAAAAGAAAAGAATATAGCCACTAAAGGGTTGCTGCTAAGTACTCTACCCAGAAAAAATAGAAAAGATGGCATGAGAGCATCTCAGGAATTGGGAAGACCACACCCATCTCTGGATCAATAGTATAAAAGTAAAAATTCCTTTGAGAAGAGACCAGTGGGACATACTTCTTATACAGGAGGGCCTAGGAAGTTATATCACCATGCTCAGCTATCCAGGCACCCAAAGGCTGCTGCAGAGGCTGCTGTAGCCAGACCGGGGGTTGGCTACTTTTCAAAGTGACAGCAGACCTTGGCATCAACCAGGTGGTAGTGGTTCTTCAGGAATATAGGATGCTGGACTTTGGGGGTCATGGAAATTTCCACCAAGATTTCAAAGGAAGGCTTGGGAGGCCAGGCAAAGTGTAGCAGAGTTGGAGTTCCTGCAGGATGCACCTGAGAGCAATGGGTGAAGTGAGAAGGATGCTGAAGCTACAGTGGATACCGCTGAGATTAGGAGATGCCAGTACCATGGGATGTCTGCTGAGGAAAACTGCAGGAATTGAGCAGAAATAAGCTGGGAAGGATAGCACTGTGGGCCACAGCCAGCAAGACTATAGGGGAGAGCTACTCAAGCTCTGTGAAGAGAACATCATGATGCCACGTGCCCCAGATGCTGGATAAGGAGCTATAGGCTTTTCTTTCCCAGCTAGATTTCAAACTTGTTTTGGTCCCATCTTTTCTTTTGATGCTCCTATTTCTCCCTTTTTGAATAGAAATGTTTATTCTGTGCCTTTATATATTGGATATATGTAACTTGCTCTTAATTTTTACAGGGACTCACACTGTCTCAGTGGAGGTGTTGGACCTGGACTTTGGGGAAATACTGGAAGTGTTAGACTATGAGGGTTTGAAAATGGACTAAGTGTATTTTGCATTGTGAGGTGGGCATGAGATCTCGTGGCCAAAGGCAGAATGTTATGGTTTACATATGAGGTGAGACAAAGCAAGAAAATTCAGAGGTAAAATGCCTCCCTTGCCTTGTTATAAGTGCACTGTTCTGCATGTCTTACTAAGAATTCCATAAATATGACTGCTACAGCCTTAGTTTATGCTTTTATCATATTTTCCTGTGGCTTTTCCTATAGCAGTTTAACCTCTAGCTCATATCTCTGAAAAGTCTCTCCAGTCATGAGAAGTTTAACCTAATCAGTGCATTAATTCATTGATAGGGATTAACTGGGTGATCACTGTAGGTAGGTAGGATATGGCTGGAGGAGGTATGTCATTGCGAGTGTGCCTTTGAGGTTTATATTTTGTCCCTGATGAGTGGGTATTCTCTGTTTCCTGATTGTTATGTCCTGATCTGCTTTCTTCTGTCATGCACTCTGCCTTGATGTTCTGCCTCAGGTTGGGCCCAGAGCAATTGAGTTGACCATCTGTGGACTGAGACCTATGAAATCATGAATGACAAATAAACTTTTTCTCTTCTAAAATTGTTCTTTTCAAGTCTTTGATTCAGGTGGTAAAAACAAACAAACAAACTACAACAACAACAACAAAAACAGACTAAAACATGTCTTGTCAAGAATTCCATAAATATGACTGCTACAGCCTTAGTTCATGCCTTTATGGTATTTTTCTGTGACTATTACTTTAGCATTTTAACCTCTAGCTCCTTATCCCTTGACTGAAGGAATCTTCCATATTCCATATTTCTGGCAAAGATCTCTCCCAAATTGCAAATGCAATCATGTAACAACCTTGGCTCAAAATCTGAAGTAGATCCTCTTATCCCATTGAATAACATTCAACTTCTTTGGCATGACATACCCCACACAAGTATCCCTAACCTGCCTTTCAAGTCCTATTTCTAGTCTTGCCAATACTTCATATCAACTGATTTCCACAATTATGCCACATTCTTTCATCTCTGTATCTGTGTCCCTGTTCTTGTCTCTTCCTGAAAAGTGCTTTTCTTCTTGCTAATGCTTATTTCTCTCTTCTGTCTAAAGTTCCTCAATATTTCGAGTGCTCTCTGGTCTCCTGACTCTTTAGCAGGTCTTCAGTGCACTGAATGTTAGATCACTGAAGAGAGATACTGTGATTTATTTATCTTTGTGTACTCTGTCCCTGGTATCATGCACAGTAAGGCTCAATAAATACGGGCTGGAAGATTGAATTAATTGTCAATAACCTCCCATGCTTTCAGGAGCAAGTGCAAGTGCACTCATAAACTTCGTCTTGCAAACAATTTGCTCTATTGGATTCAGCAGTGGTTGTTCACAGTTTTCTGGATGGTTCTCATAAGCAGCTCTGATTGTTACAAAATGATTCTCATTCCCAGGCTTCCATATTAACATGCTTCTTCCAAAGCAACACTTCTTTCTCATTGTCTCCTGACTCCGCACAGCCTGTTGAAGAATTCATATAGGACCATCTCCTTGACTTAGACTACAATTTCTGTGCAGCACACAGGATCATCATCATTCATTGCTGAGATTGCAGCATGCTGCTTATCTGCATGGAGTCATTCTCCAGGCAAGAAATAATGCATTATTAACACAGCTTTATTATCAGGACCAAGTTTGGCAGATAGAACAACATTAGAGGATAATTGGAAGGACAGCTGATTTGTTAGCAAAATGTTGCCTTTGGGCTAATGAATCATTCCGATTTTTGCACTGACAGCTCAGTAACAAGCTTGAAGACTACTTTGCTTCAGACCATTAAACTTTGACAAACCAGTTATTAAGTACAGCTAGAGCCAACGGTCTGTGGGGATTATTGCAATTATGAGCTATCTCTGTAATTTTTTTTAATCATTAGGCAAGACAAGGTGAGTCTGATGATGGAGGGCCTGATGACTGACAGTCCCTTGCTTTGTAGTACACAAGGCAATAAACAGCTGTAGGAGGACTAATCAGTCAGCAAAAGCTCTTTTCTGGGAAGATGTAGTAAAAGCAATAAAGGTTATTGCTCTCAAATGACAAATCCTGTTCAGGAAGAGAAGGACAAGGCTTTCCTTTAATTTCTAGTTTGGAGGCTGAGGTCTTTTCAAAGGAGAATTAGAGGGATAAAGAGGAAACATCTCAAATGGAGAGAAAAATCAAGGCTGGACTCGTGCTTGGAGTCTTGCTGGGCTCAATTCCTATGCTATTTGGACTGTTGTGGCATTCAACATGCCCATTGGACAGTACCTGCCCTTTTCCCATTCTGCTCCTCCCTATGTGTGAAAGGGATCTTGAACTCAGGTGGATAACAAAAAAACATTTGAACAAAAAGAAGTGGCAAGGACTATGGTAAAACTACAAGTCGATTAATTATACATCTGTGGGCCAGATGGCAGCATCTGGTCTGCAGATAGAGGTCCAGGTCCTCAGGGGGCATTTTGAGACCCTTTGAATCTGCCTATACCCCACAAGCATTACCTTTCTATATTCCCCTTTTTAGAATCTGTATGCTCCAGTCTAACTGGGATGTTTTCCACATGTGCCCTACACTTCCCAATCTCAAATACTTTAATTTTCCCTTGAAATTTATTTTTCTGTAATTTAATCGTATTGACTTTATGGGTCCATTTATTTATCTGTCAAATTATGAAAAAGGAATAAATTAAAACAACTTGAAGATGTCTTTCTCTTCTAAAGTTGGGTGAGTCGGTAACATTTTTTCATCAGCTATGGTTAGAATTGCTGTGATTCTAGCTGCATTCTGGGCCTTATGATATTCTGCATTCCTTAGGTGGGCACATTGCTGGGAGTCTTGCTGTCGTCACGGATGCTGCCCATCTCTTAATTGACCTGACCAGTTTCCTGCTCAGTCTCTTTTCCTTGTGGTTGTCATCAAGGCCCCCCTCTAAGCAGCTGACGTTTGGGTGGCATCGAGCAGGTATAGTTCTTCATTTGAAAAATAATAACCAAGTGGCGCTACAGAGTCAATCTAAGGGTTAAAATGGAAGGTAAAGAGTGAAGCCTTGTTCAAAAGTCTCTTAGGGATACACACCTTTGGGCCCAGGATTAAAATAGATATGGGAATGTATGTTGCTAATATTAATTCAACTAACAACCAGATGAATGGTGCTACCTCTTGTTTTATGGGACAATTGGAACACGTGTGTCATTTTAGGAGCCACCCCAACACTAGGATCTCAGTATATGTTACAATGATAATGCTATTCATTTAACTACTTGTATTCCTGGAAGAGAGGATTAAGCTAAAGTTTCTGCCATATTGCAGAACAAGACTCAGAGAGCCTAAGAGAGTTGCAGAGATTGAAAAATTTCTCCCTAGGAAGTCAGGAACACATCATGGGCCTTCCTGCTCACAGAAAGCATTTAGTCATTGCTATGGTTTGAATGCTGCCTCTAAAATGCATGTTGCAATGTAATTGTCACTGTGACATTGTTAATAGTGGAACCTTAAAGAGACGATTACATCATGAGGATTCTGTTCTTAACTAGTAGATTAATGCCTTAATTGCAGGAGAGGGTTCCTGATGTAAGGATGAGTTTGGCCCAATTATCTCTGTCTTGCACATGCTTTTTTGCCCTTCTATTATCCTGTGATGCAGCATGGAGGCCCTTGCCTGATGCTGACACCTTGCTCTTTGGACTTCCCAGCCTCCAGAACTGTGAGAAATAAATCTCCTCTCATGATAAATCACCCAATCCTTTTTGTTAGCAGAAAAAAAATGCACTAAGAAAGTCATCAGAGAATGTCTGACTATATTGCTCAATCAGTCATCACCAACAACAACAGAAGAAAAAAGAGGAGGAGGAGCAAGAAATGAAATTTCACTTTGGGGAGCTTTTTCTTCCACTGAGTAAGTGCTTCCTTTTATCGAGGAACTGGCCTGGCTCATGGCAAAGGTTTACCTTCTGGGACCTTCTAATTTTGGCTCATTTTTACAAATTCACCTACCATTTCTTTCTCCCCAACAACTGCAATTCTACTTCTCCTCCTCTGTCCTGGGAACCAAAAGTTACAGCTCCATGTTTTTACATTGCTCGAGAAAATCAATATAAAGGAGAAGAGGGCAGAGCAAGGGCATCCATGTTGCTAGCCTTCACTGAAGTGTACTGATGGATGAGGACCACAACTCCTAGACTAACTACAGACTACAGGTTTTCAAGTTTAGAGTGATAGGAAGTTCTAATTTCATATTAAACAATTTACCATTGCAGATATTTTGGGATTGCTTTCCCTTTATCATTCAGAGAGAGATGAGATAACAAAAGCAATAAAGAGTTTGTCACCATATAATTTGAGAATGCTTCCACCAGTCCTGAACAGAGCCACACCTGAAAACCATGAACCCATCATTTGTCTATATAATTTTTTGCATGTATTTCATTCTTACCAATTCCATTAATCATAGCTGTTTTGTAAATGTAGGATAGTTTGTAAAGACAGGATGGACTCAGAATTTAGATCATTAATGCCCTTCGTCAACTTGGTCATGGAAATCCATGAACGTCGATATTCCAGAAGACCAAGGCTGTTCAAAAGAACCCTCTGTTACGAGAGAAAATATTTCATAATTGAGTATAATATGGCTATTGAGAACTTTAAATGTGGTTGGTACAACTAAAGAATAAGAGTGGTTTTTATTTTAAACATTTTCATTTAAGTAGCCACACATGAAGGATGGCTATCATGTTAAGTAGACATATAAATGAGCCCATCCTAGTCCACCCACAAACTGGTCTGGCCAACCTGATGGCCTTACTCATCTCATGGTTTTCTTAGCAACCATAGTACCATTTGTCAGTGGTTCCTGGGGTGCTTTTTAATTTAGTTTTATTTTAACTAGTTCCTTTTGGATTTCTGTCCTGTTGAGACCTGACTCTTGTTTCTTGGTGTTTGGGCTTTACCATCCCAGCTCCTTGTCTCACTGTATCTCTCTGTTCCTGGCTTTAGAGTGAGACATGCTCTATTTCCATATCCTTATTTGGATTCTTACAGATAGGATATTTGGGACTTGATATCTCTGAATCCAATCTCTGTTTCTAGATAACCATAAATTCTTGAGTGTGGTCCTCATTAACTTCTGCAAAGGGAGTTTTAAATAGTCTGAGCAGACTAATAAAAGAATAAATATTTTTTGAGTGTTTGCTATATGTCATATTGGTTTCTCAGAGTTCCCTTATCAAAGTGCTTCAAACTGGATGGCCCAAATAAAAATTTTTCATCTCACAGTTCTGGAAAACAGAAAGCAAGGATCAAGACATCAGCAAGATTGGTTCCTTCAGACTGTGAGTGAAATCTTTCTCTCTGAGCTGCTGGGGTTCCTGGGTTTGTAGATCCCTGCTTTAATCTTTACATGTTATTTGTCCTGTGTGCATGTCTGTGTCCAGATTTCCTCTTAGAATAGGTATAACAGTCATATAGGATTATGGGACTACAATATGGCCTCATCTTAACTAATTATATCTCAAAGACCCTATTTCTAAGTTCACAGTATGAGGTACTAATGGTTAGCACTTCAATGGATGAGTTTTGGGGGGACACAGTTCCACCCATAGCATATATGTTATACATATATGGCATTATTTTTTTAATATTTATTTTTTAGTTTAGGTGGACACAATACCTTTATTTTAATTCTATGTGGTGCTGAGGATCAAACACAGTGCCTCATGCATGCTACCTGAATACTCTACCACTGAGTCACAACCCCAGCCCCATATATGGCATTATTTATAGATAAGGAAACTCAGGCTCAAATATGTCAAGTGACTTGTATAAAGTCACATGGTCAGTCACTGACAGACCATCTGCATCTGATACTTGAACTCATGCCCTAAATACCTGCACCAGCCTTTCCCATAGTATGAGAAATATTCCGTGGATGGATGGATAGCAGATGATTTTAACTGTCATAAGGACAATAATTACACATCCTAATATGCATCAGAAAATAAACTAGCACATCAAATTCATAATTTCATGGATAAATTTGTTTAGGAAGAAGCTGAGGGTGCAAAGTTGAATTTATTTGAAGAAAACATGAAGTGACTAATGAGACAGGTGGCATGTGAATATGGAAAAAGCCGTAAAGGTTGTTTGACAGAGGTCTGAGAAATAATAGCTGCATACTGGGTAGCAGTGCTTTACCTCACCCAGACTACAGGGAACTGACATCTGAGATTAGTTTAAAGCAGGTAAGGATGACAGTATGGAATGTACCTGACCAGTGATTCACAGAATATTTCTAGACCCCAGTAGGTCTTTGGAATCCACTAAAGAGGCTGAGTTAAAGATCAGGGTAGGTGTTAAGCCATGCCTAAGTAAGCAAAGGTACTTTCCTCCATGGGTAGATTGAACACTATCTTACCTTTAATATTAATGTAACTGTCTCCGTTCTGATGCTTCTTTTCCTTGCAGTTGCTCTTAAAAGGCAGTTAGAGTGTTGATAAGGCTCTGAGCTCGCCTTTGTGTTTACAATATGTCGGGTTGGCAAATGAAACTCATTTTCATCAAGTACGATTTTATTTCACTAAAGGTGCCGGTACTGGCAAGTTGTAAATGTTTTATGGTAAAATTAAGAGTTTCTAAACACATTTTACTCCTTGTGTCTCATTATTTCATCCCCTAATAAGTTTCGATCATTTTAGCACCTGTTTAAATTAAAATCCCTGAGGAAAACAGTGAGGGCAGGCAGCAATTAATATGTTCTAAAGATGCTAAAATTGCTTAGAAATGTGGCTCATAATGAACTCAGACACTGGTGTTTTACGAATGCAACATTATAGTGCCTCATGTCAGCTCTAAAATCCACCCACACTTTTGCTTCATGAATCACTGAGTGAACTAGTTTGAAGCTTCTTTCTCTAGGGAGAAAAGCAATCTTTTGACTCGAGTATAAGTAGGTGATGTGTGGGTCATTTGTGAGGAGTGTCCTTGTGTGTTTACATCCCTAGAGATCCTTGGTGCCCTGCTGTCTATCCTTTGCATCTGGGTGGTGACTGGTGTGCTGGTGTACCTAGCCTGTGAGCGCCTGCTGTACACTGACTACCAGATCCAGGCGACCGTGATGATCGTCGTTTCGGGCTGCGCAGTTGTGGCCAATATTATGTAAGTTGCCCCCATGCAAAGAGCCCATATGGTTTAACATCAACCCTGTCTAATTGAGGACTCTTTTGGAAACTCATCTACTTGTGAAGATGATAACAGATTTGACACAGTGTTCCAGTGGCTCCAAAAGTGACATTAAGGCTATAGACTAAAGAGATTTTAAATATTGGCTTCTATGACCTACCCATTTCAGTATCTCAGTTCATGAACTATTGTTCCGTCTCAGAGATAAATGATCAACAGAATAATGTTCAATCTGCCATCACTAGCTAGATCCTCTCTCTTACCAGTTAACCTGAAACTGCATTTCACATTGGCACTGGAAGAAAGAGTGTGGGCAGATCAATGCAAATCTATCATTTTGAGGAGATAAATGCTCTAGAGCACATGTACTGCTGACTGGGGGTCAATAACATCATCTTTGCATAAGGAGAACAATATGTCCTCAAGGCAGCAGGAAGAATGAAAGTATTAATAATTTCCCGAGAGTCATATGTCACATAGGTTGTGTCAATGCTACACAAAGATGAAGGATATCCCTAGCCAACTGCCACATCAATCTGGGACTTTAATGATGGAGTTCGACTTTCAAAATAGATACCATCCAAGTTTTCTTTTTACTGCGACTGCTTTTGAACATTGACCTTAACCTTGCAAGTACTTTTCATTCTTAGAAAGACAAGGGAATTGAAAAGCCCTGCCTTCCTTGTGCAAACAGATAGTTATTTATGGATAAACGTGCTGAGTGACTGTAATGTTTTCTCTAAGAACTGAGATTGCAGGTTGCAAATTCTGCAAGACGTTGTAGTGATTGAATAAGAAGAAATCAGAATTGCAATTTGCAAATAAATTTGGAATAAATCTATTCCTTGGGGACCAAAATCCAGACAGAAAATTCTAGTAGAAGTGGTGAAGGGGTTCTGTGATGAAGGGTGTAGACAGAGCTTTAAGGCTATTGCAGGCTATTTTTTTTCTGCCTAAAATATTCCCTCCTTTCATAACCTTTTAAATTCAGCTCACTTGCTATATCTCTCTAAGTCAGGCTCCTCTGTTGGCATTATCCATAGCAGAAATTCTTAGTAACCATATTATAATTAGAAATTTCCATTTGTGTTAGTTTGTGTGTGCAGGCGCACGTGCGTGCGTGCACACGCACACGTGTGTGTGTGCGTGTGCGTAAAATCTTTGATGTCTCTAACACAGTTAAAGCTGCACTAGGGAGGGAATGCATATATTTTTATTCACTATATAACTGAAGTATTTAATAGCACTTGGTGCACGAGTTCTTAAGAAAGTTTTACCTTTTTAAATAAAACAAGTAAAAGGGTGAATGACACTGTGATGATCATATATGGCAAATCTGTAAGAGTGTCTGTTAACTGCCAGTCACATTGGGCTATCTAACTTTGAATTGTAACTCATAGCTAAGGTGTTTCTATACAAACACAAAAATCTGAAAACTGTGCCTTCTGTAATGATCACATTTTGGCACATAGCAGTCATTCCACCTTGTGGTGATGGCTTAAGACTTAACAAACACTTTTACCTGCAAAAAGACTATATATATATATATATATATATATATATATATATATATATATATGGTGTCCCAAGCAATAAGAGGTCTTTAAAAAGTCTTTATTCCAAAATGTTCAAAAAGGGTATTTGGCAAAACATTCCTTGTTGACCATCAGTGAAACAATTCTCCTTTTATATCTAGTATAAACTTTGTGAATGTTATAGATAAATAGAATCAGTTGCATAATTTTTAGTGACTACTACTTTATCACCTTGACTTGGACAAGAGATGCTACACTTTGCAATACGTTGTATATGTATGTGCGTGTGCACGCGTGATGTACATAAGCAAGTACTTTTACAATATATTAATGTATCTTTGCTTCTAGATAAATAACTATATATACATACACAAAACACTATCACCATATGCCATTAAGAAATTATTCAAATTTTAAATGCTCATAGAAATGAACAAAATTAAGTAAAATAAAAGTTTAAAAAAACATCCCATGATGAGATTCATTCACTATTATTTTGTTTTTTTTCTCTTTCCATTGCTTTTTGCATTTGAAACCAGTATATTAAATCAAGCTCTCCCAAGCTCAGCTTTAAGTATAAAGCAGTGGCTGACATTTAGTAGATGAATGAAATTTTTCCTTTTTATTGTAAAATGTTTGGTTTTTATCAAAGAAATGTTGCTTTCCCATTTTAATGTGAAAGAGAATAACATTATGTGGATGAATGAGAAAACTAAGGTAAATTTTTATAGTTTGTCCTTGTGTGAAAAATTTAAAACTCTGTGATACACCTGTATTCAAACATAACTCCAAAATGATACATTGTAAAGCATACTTTTTTTAAACTACCTGCCATTTTGAATAATGCGTGCTATTGTCAGCTCCTTTGTTCTGCTGCCTAGGTTTGTAAGGGCTAATCTCACATGTGCCAAGAACATTGTTGTCTTTCAGACTAGCTGTGGTTTTGCACCAGAGACACCTTGTCCACAATCACAATGAAGTACAAGCTAATGCCAGTGTCAGAGCAGCTTTTGTGCATGCCCTTGGAGATGTATTTCAGAGCATCAGTGTGTTAATCAGTGCTCTTATTATCTACTTTAAGGTGAGTGCATGTGAATGTACCCATATTGTAGTAATTACATGCATTAGCACAGAGGCTGACCCTCCAATATTGCAAATACCAACAACCTTATCTGAGTTTACCTATACAAACTGCTTTGTGAGATTAAAACAAACACTCAAAGCCTGAAACCTGAGTCTTTCCCAAAGTCCTAAGAACTATGTCTTTAACTATTGGACTGCCAATCTTTCAAAAAAGCAGTTCCTTTCGCCATGCCGTTAAGGTAGACAACAATGAAACTATTAATACCTTAGAGTTCTTAGGTAGTAAGCTACAGAAAAGATCTCTGACTCATTTCAGAAAAAATAAATAAATAAACACGTGTATTGGCTGAAACCTATTGAATGTATTTCAGGACGGAAATCAAGGTAGAAATATGGGCAAGTTTTGGTATCTAAATTTCAGAAATAATAACAACTTCTGTCTCAGGCACCATGCTAAAATAAATGTGACTTGACCAATTTTTTCTTCCTGTTCTTGTCGCTGCTGAGGATTTATATTTCTTGGAAGGGGAGTCCAGTCGACCCTAGTTTGGGTCCTGTGCCTGCCTCCTGGTTGGGGAAGATTAAGCACCTGATGATTCACCTGTCCTACCAATATTGCTCATAGGCAGAAGGGTTTGGTTCCCCCAAAGCAGGATTCTAATTCAAGAACCCTCTCACCCTGAACAAATAAATATGATCTACAGATTGCTATCTGTTAATATCAAGAATGAACAGGGGTGGGTAAAGGCAGGTGGGGAGGGCAAAGAAGGAAGGAAGCTTTTAGGTAAGGGACTCTTTACTGTTTTTCCTAAGATATAAAAATATGAGAAAATTTGAGAAAATGTTCCTTGAAAACTTCAAGACTAAGGCAGAACTATTTTAAACTTGGAAGAATTAGTGGAGTTTGAGAGACCCTTTACAAAGGTTAGGTTGATGCTGGGTTTCTTAGAGAGTGGAGCCTGGACTTGCCTGTGGCATTGAATTTCATCAAGGGAAGAACAGCAGGTGTTTTACCTCAAAGTTATGGGATCCAGTAGAGAGAGAGAGAGAGACACCTGGAGTGACACCTTTGCTTAGACCCTTAGGGCTGTGTCACAGATACCTATCTCAGAGTATGTGTAATAGAGGAGAAGGAAAGAAAGAGACTAACCCCAGTACACCAAGACCAAGGGCTGGTTGCACTTGGGATAAATGCAACCTCTCAGTAAATGATATCCTTTCTTGTCCTCATCATAATTAAGGCTGAACAGTCATTGCACATTGAGGGCATCTTTGTGCTTGTTTTTTACACATATCTGTACTTATATTAAGAGAATTTAAATCAGGCCTCTTAAGAATGTTGTTCACTTTCATTTTTGAATAGTCTCTACTCTTTGGTCACTGGTAATTTAGAGCTGAAAGGACAGACTGAGTCTTCAGGAAGGACATCTTGCCTTTGTGTTGGATGTCAAGTGTCAGGGGGACAGATGTGTGACTAGGAAAGAAGGGAACAGGGAACTGCAGCTATTTTATTAATCAAGCTTTCTCCAAGAGAACTATGAATTCAGTTAACCAAAATTGCTGTTTTTTAGCCAGACTACAAAATAGCTGACCCAATCTGCACATTTATCTTCTCCATTCTGGTGCTGGCCAGCACTGTCATGATCTTAAAGGACTTCTTCATCTTACTTATGGAAGGTAGGAGGGATCTCTTGATTATTCCTAAGATCAATGCTTTTTTCCCCTATGATCACACAAGGGGATGGCTGCAAGGTGTGCTCACTGTTAATTTGTATTATGGGAAAAATTAAAAGCTGATAAGGAATTTTTTTGTGAAAATGAACGTTTGATTTTTATTTATATGGGAGCAGATAAAAAGTGGCTTCTACTTGTATCTCGAGCAACTGTTAAATATCCCACATCATAAATATGGTAAGTGTTTTAATCAGTGTTTTTGCTGCTGTGACTAACAGATCTGACCAGAACAACTTGTAGAGGAGGAAAGTTTATTTGAGGGCTCATGGGTTCAGAGGTCTTAGTCCATAGAAGGCCGGCTCCATTCCTCTGGGCTCTAAGAGAGGCTGAACATCATGGCAGAAAAGTGTGGCAGAGGGAAGCAGCTCACATTGTGATCAGAAAGTAGAGAGACTCCACTTGCCAGATAAAAATATATATACCCCAAAGCCACACCCCAATTCCCACCTCCTCCAGCCACACCCTATCACTTCAGTTACCACTCAGTTAATCCCTACCAAGGGATTAAATCACTGATTGGGTTAAGACTCTTACAACCCAATTATTTCGCCTCTGAACCTTTTTGTACTGTCTCACATGTGAGCTTTTGGGAGACACCTCACATCCAAACCATAACAGTAAGTATAAACATTAACAGTGGGGAAAGATATTGCCAAAATATAATTATATTCCTAATTATACCTGGAGAAGACTTAAGAAAGACAATAAAAATCTACCTCTCAGGCAACATTATATCTGAACATTTATGTCTGATTGTGGCTTGAAGTACAAGAACACCAGGGTGACTTATTTGTCAAGTGCTTACTGAGCTCTGACTGCTGGATCATGTGCTCAAAACTAGAGCTACAGAGATGAGCTGAGACTTGTTTCTGTCTTCAAGAGTGAAACTTTAGTGAGGGGAGAAAGAGATAATTCAAATAATTACTCAGAAATGGAATTGAAGTGCTACTGAGAAATGGTGTGGGAATTTGAACAGCTGGGGAAGAGAGATAGGTGGTCCCCGGGGTGTGCTGAAGAGGTGACGTTTTTTGACTTGCTCTCCCCCTGGTAGGATCTCATGCTAATTAACCTCATTCAACACAGCCAGAGTCTAGTCCTGATGACTCTCCTGGCTGATCTAGCTCCTGGGGTCTTCTAATTAGTCAGGAAGAGATGAAATGCCTTCACTGTCAAGAAATTTTTCATATGACTAAAGCTTACTGGCCACCTCTCCTGACATTATGCATTTTGCTGATTTTCTTTTCCTTTAGCAAAAGTAGTTGAAGAACTGCTAGTTTTTGCCCTTTCCAGGCTACATCTTTACTGGCAGTTAGGTTGGAGAGATATTGTGCAATTGAAAAGATAGAATTTCAGAGACCTCAGTTCAAATCCTAGCCATGAAAGTTTTTAGCACTTTAGACTTAATTCTGAACTTCAGTTTTCTCAATTCAAATCTGGGAATAATACTCACCTTGCAGTGCTGTTGAGAGGATTAGATGGATCTATGGCATCATTTCTGGAACACAGTGGTAACTGGATGTGTACAACTTCTTAGCAAGCTTTTTAATTTGACTAGAATATAGGAACTATAAAGCTAGGTTGTGGAAATGAACCCTATACTGCATATTATTCTCACATCAAGAAAGTCCCAATTCTTGGCCACAAGCTGTAGCCATAGACCTGGTCAGTCATTGATACTAATGACCTCAGAAGAGCTAGATAAGAGAGTCTTGATCAGAATAAATTCATCTTTGTCACTGGAAAAACTATTTGATACTAGGTGAAATGGGAGATCTACTGATTCACAGTGATGTTATCTTAGTGTACAAGTTGAGTAGCCATTATCCAAAATACTTGGGACCAAAGTGTTTCAGGCTTTAGACGTTTTTTTTAACATTTGCATAATGAGATATCTTGGCGATGGAACTCAAGTCTAAATGTAAAATTCACTAATGTTTCACACACACCTGTGCACATAGCCTGAGGTAATCTTATGCAATAGTTTTAGTGCTCCTGCATTTTGACTGAGACCCATTCTTGTGGCCTCATGTTGGTTCTGAAAAAATTTGGGATTTTGGAGGATTTCAGGTTTTGGGTTTTAGATTAGGGAAGTTCAATGTACTAAAGTATATTAGAGGCATAAGGTACTTGATTATATTTGCAAGGTGATTTATCATCATTATATTGACTGTTTGTAATGAACATAGATGATGTCATATTTTCTATTCTACTTATTAGAAAAACAGATATTACAGAGGATTTTGCTTAAAAATATTGATAGACTGAGCCAGCAGTTATCAAACTTTGGAGGTATCAAAATTACTTAGAGGTGTTATTGAAGGGCAGATCACTGGACCCAAACCCACAGCTCTTGGGTCAGTAGGTCTTATGTGTGAGAAGGGGCTGAAAGAGCAAGAATATGAATTTCTGCCAAGATGTTGATGCTGCTGGTCCCAGCACCATACTTTGAGAACCACTGGATGCACCTTATCATATTTTGGGATTCCTCCATGAGGAGAAGGATGATGATAGCTCTGGGACTTATCTGGAAATCTCAATCAGATCTGGAGGTTTGCATCATATCAACTATCCAGATAATTAAAAGTATCCAAACATAGGCTGAACTTTTCTTTTTGTCCAGATCATTTTGAGTCGTGGTAGACCAAGTCCCAGAGTGTAGTCACCTTCAGTAACACTATTAAGCACACATTTAAGGATTCTACTCCTTGTGGGCACCATCATTATTGGCAGATAGTGCTATTACACTGAAATGGATAATGGACATGAACATCCACTACCCATTTTCTAAACTGAGTGACAAGTGAACTTTTTGACTTTGAACTTGGGAATATTTGGTCTATCAAATCACAGGTGCCTCTATTTTCTTTCCTGAGGGCCAAGTACGAAGCTTCAGCAATTGTCACTATTATGGAAATTACTGACTTACAGAAAGATCAGAGAAAAACTGAAGTACAATTTAAGATGATTGTTTTCCACCCCTCCTATCTCAGAAAAACTCTTCCCTGGAAATTATCTCTCTTAAATTTTTAAAGGAACAGTACAGAATCTGGGCTATCTTAGCTAATTAATGAAAATGGCAGGTAACTCTTTACTGGAAGACACCCAATTTTTTAAATTAGTTTAATATAAAATAATTCCATACCTGGTAAAATTTTAAAATAAGACAGAAAAGTATAAAATAATAAATTGTTTCCCCATATTTCCATCTCTAAATTCTCAATCCTGTGCTTCAGGGGTCACTTCTATTAATAAGTAAACATACATTCATACATCTTTCCAAAAACATTCATTCATTTGCTTGCCTTTTTTAAAAATAAAATATGAGATTAAATGATGTTATTTATTTTTTCTCTATCTTGCTATCCTTCACTTGGAGATATTTCATATTACCACATAAACAATACCCCATTTTTTTCATATCTGCAATTACTCCACTGTATGAATGAATGCTTTTCCTTACAGTTGGCATTACAAACAATGTTGTGGTTACCACTACTATATGTGCATGTTTTTAACACTTTGTATCAGTGGAATAATTCACAGAATTAGTATTTTTGTTTCAAAGTTATATGTATTTTAAAATTGGATAAGATTGGCTGCTTTTACCCAAGATACCACATCAATTTCTTTGCTACTAACAGCATGTGCAAACACCTTTTCACATCCTCATCATCATTGAGTATTATCAAACTAGTGATTCTTTTCTCATTAGACAATTGAAGCATTATATATTATTGATTTCGTATGTAATTCTTTAATTATTATGGCATTGAATGTTATTTTCAGTTATTTATTAGCCATGGAAGTTATCTTTTTAACATCTGTTTTGGATGTTTTCCTGGATACATTAATATTTTTTCAGACTTTTCCTCAATAAAAGAAGTTTCTAGGCTGTGCTGGAGCATCTGCATCAGGAGAGACATGCCTCCTGCTTGACAACCTTATAGCTTAGTATAAAATAAGTAATGGTGGCCTTTTGTTCTCCATAAAAGAAAAAAAGTAAATGTCAAATTATAGTGACATCCTGACTTCAACGGTCCTAGATGACAACAGGTCTTCACAGAGTCACCTGAAACTCTCCCAAAAAGATGACACACACTAGTTCTAAGAATGAAATTTTTGATTCCTTTGCCTAAACTCTTACCTTCGCTTGACATGTCAATGCTCAGAGATTCTGAGCTCTCTGTCACTTATCTGTGTGGCCTTAGCAATGTTCTTAAGTTTTCTAATCCCTGTTTTCTCAGTTAAGTGGGAACTACAACATCGATAACTAGCCCATAAATTTCTTAGGACTCTTAAATTAAATAATTGTTATAGATAAAGTGTTTAGCACTAACCTTATACATGATAGGTGCTCAATAAAGACTTTTGTTATTTAGAAAATAACAATTTGCCTTAAGACTTCATGCATACTCTATGATTCATCTGAGGCAAGAATTCCTTTAGTTTCATTCTAGTGCCCTGAGACTTTTGTTGCTCATAGAGTAAAAGGATATGTTGATCAGCTCTTCGTTACTTCCATGGTACAATAAAAATGGGGTTCAATTAAACTCAAGCCCTAGAAAACTTTGAGTTAATCGGGAGAAAATCCCCTATGAGAAGATTCTTAAAGCTCAAAAAAGGTAGGTTAAGATTCCTTATTTGTATAAATAGGTGGGTTTGGCTCTAAATGCTCATTGTAATTATCTGGTAAGTATTTTAAAAGACTTATACCCAGGCTCCAGAGAACTAGATTTAATTGTCTGGGGAGTCTTGATATATTTTTTAGCATACAGCAAGACCGAAAAACATGTGAGGTCCTGCTTCTCAGGGACTCACAAGTATTAGTGTCATGGTTCTTAATCTCACCTGTGTAAAAGACTCACCTGATGAGCACTGAGGTTGGGTCTCCTCCCCAGAGAGCTGATTTCATGGGTCTTGGGAGTAACCTTGTCATCAGGGTTTCTAAACTGTGCCAGCAATTTTGATGTGCACACAAGGTTCAGAACCACCCGAAGATCTGGGGGTTTCAGAACCTCACCCATGGAGCTTTCCATTAGGGGGCCCAGATAGGAGCCAAGTCTTTATTACTTTTAACAAACACCTCAGGTGTTTGCATTGTGCATTATGTAGAGTTGAAATAGAGGCTACAAATGAATCATTCTTAGACATATATTCTACAGATCCTCTTTGGGTCATCTTTAGCTGATAGGGATTTACTTAACATAAGATTTTACCATTGTTGTGCTGGTTGGATTGGTATTTCTCCCAAAAAAATTTTTTTTGGAAAGTTTTTCCAAAAATTTTTTTCCAAAAATAAATTCTTATATCGAGTTGATTTCTATTTTCCTATTCCAACCAACCATCGTTTCTGTTTCTCTCTCTGAAGTTAGCCAGAGAAACTGTCCTTACACATTCATGTTCTGTCACCTTCTATATGACAGGTCTTGCAACATTTGAAAACAGTGATCACACATCTCTTGGCCTTCTCTTCTCCAAATTAGAGACACCCAGTTCCTTTGCCCAAAAGAAGAGCTGGTTGACTGTCAGATTTCCCACCTTCCTGTATTCCCCACGTGGTTTCTTTAGACACAAAGATGACAGTCAAACTATTCCATGTTCTGACCCAGCCACTGAATGCAGACTAATGTACTAAACTAATGGAAAATTTAAAAATCAAATAATAAGATGGTATTACAATGTTAGGATCCTCTATTAGCACAGTCCATTATGTGACCTGGTAGATAACCAACATTTTTATAGCGTTACAATTTACAAAGACCCGATATCTCTTGAAGGGTTCCTCAGAGAACTCTGTGATCTACAAATTGTTCTTATCATCCCTATTTTACTACAAATATGTTGAGGATCAGAGAAGCTTCATAATTGGAGTAAATTCACAATAGTTGTAGGCAGGATGCTAACCCAGGATTCATTGAATATCAAATCCCATGTCGCTTCATTTTGCTTTCCAGAGTGCACGCGGATAATTAGGAAAAGCACAATTAGTTTAATAATAGACTAAGGATGATTACTGTTGTTGATTGTTGCATAGTAAATCCTGCAAGGATTCTGCCTGTGAACTTCTGATTGATGGTAAACCTTTGGAAATAGTCGGATTTGTAAACATTTGAAGTAGGAAGCCAGAAAAGGGGAGGGCAAGTTGGCGAGGGCTTGGCAGTGCAGTTAGCCATCTCCACCAGTTGGGTAACAACGCCTCCTGCTCCTTCCATCAGGTGTACCAAAGGACCTGAATTACAATGTTGTGAAAGAGCTCATCCTGGCAGTCGATGGCGTTGTCTCTGTGCACAGCCTGCACATCTGGTCTCTAACAACGAACCAAGTGATTCTCTCTGTTCATGTTGCCACAGGTCAGTGAGTTTTGTAAACACCCCCAGGCAAGATTCCATCCTTTTCCTTAAAAGTCAGTAATTTCTCTTCTTTTTCGAGGGCTGACCTTAGTATCCATTGCCTGTCAAAACAGCTGTCGAGTGGTTTGTACTTTGAAAACCCACCAGTTTATGGTGGTTGTCACAGCAACCATGATACCAATGACATTCTCCAGGCTGATTGCAGTGCAATACAAAGACCCAAAATGCCTCCCCAACTTCAAGGCCTTGGATTCTGAAAATTCCACTTCACCTGTTTGGCTTGGTGTCTGACCACTAAAAATATAGAAAAGAATTTAGCAGTAAATCTTGATTGAATCTCTGCTGCGTATAAGATGCTCTGCTCAGTGCGGATGTTAGAGGGAGAGACTGAGGCCCCAACCATAAAATTCGAACAAGCTAACAGATGTGCTGGGAGAATTAGGGCAGGTCCTTCCCCGGATGGTTGGAGATTCTGTGACCATGTGAGACGATTCTCAGGACATTATACTAACAGCTACTTTTTTTTTTTTTTAAATAGAAGGTGATTTTGTCTCTGAAATGTCTCGGAGCTGGGAGAAATAGTAAGTGGGAGGTCTTTCACTGCCTCAGGAGAGAGCTTAGGCCAAGGATGATGAGTTAGGCTGCTAAAATATAGTTCAAGAAGTTACTTAGTGGCAGAGGGACGGGGACACCAGTGACCGTCATTTGAGGGCTATACTTCTCAGACATTCTCATCTTCTCTGAGGGGCTCAGATCTGGCTTTGGGGAATTTACAGCATTCTCTACACCAATATTTCACTGCAAATGAAAGAATATAGTAAACAATCAGGTTACTGGGGAAGGGACTTTATAGCCTCCTGATACCATTTGGGACAGGAAAAAAGATGGCCGTGGGGTTAGCTGCTCTAAGAGAGGTCTGTGGGGAGCTCTGAATGCTTCCTGCTTCCTGTCACTTGCCTTGATATAAATTCTAATTAAATCCAAAACTACAACCCAGAGATCCCTGGGGGCTGGTGAGCAGGACTGTGTAAGAAATAACAGTTCTATCTTGGCTCTTTCACGGGTTTGTCTTCCTTCCATACTCAGCTCCTGGGAGTGCCAGACTCCAGAGGTGACTATGGGCAGGAAGAGTTCCCATAGTGACAGGGCACTTTGCTGCACTTGAATGTCCCCTGCCTTGTCTGTGTGAACATAGCAGAGCCAATGTGGCTTCCTCTGAGTGCTCTGCCTATGATGCCCAGCTCCCCACCCCCAGGCCCAAGACAAAGCATTTGAAGCTTAAGTCTTAGCCATGGCTCATGTGTGTAATCAATGCTAATCTCACCCTAGTTCTTTATCAACAGCAGCCAGCCGGGACAGCCAGATTGTCCAGAGAGGAATTGCTAGAGCTCTCAGCAATAGCTTTCCTGTGCATTCACTCACGATTCAGGTGGAGTCTCCAGTCGACCAGGACCCTGCCTGCCTTTTCTGTGAAGACCCTCGGGACTAATTCAGTCACACTGTCAGCTTCCTCTGTTTGATAGACCACAACATGCTGAAACATCAGAAATAAGTAACCAAAGGAAGAATTTTGAGAAAGTCACGATACAGTGTAATGCACGTTTTATTCTGAAGATGCATATAGATCCATCCGTCAATTGGCTTTTATACTCACGAGTAGCAGTGTTCAATTATAGGAAGGGTGTAAAGGTTATTCTTAACTGGCACCAAGATAACAGCTGTTTGTAACCACTGGCAATAAAAGTTTTACCTCCCTCCAATAAAGCATCCTGAAAATGAGTAGGTAAATATGAATTGAAGAAAATCTTATCTCTTCAGTGGAAGAGACAAATAGCCACAAAATTCCCCCCAAACCTCAGGGGTAAAAGGGAATCTAGAGTCATTAGAATTTGATTTGTCCATCATCCTTAGCTAAGATGACCTGGGCAAACATCTTCTGCTCCCATCAACATCACAACTAAATGGGGTAGAAATTCCCTCTGTCTGTTAGTCTTGGATACAAATTATGTTGTTATGTGTCTGAAACTGTTGAATTGTATTTTACTTTTCTGCATAGAAGTCCTGGGCAAAAGAAAAATTGTGAAATTACTGATTTTTGAGTGTTTTCATGTCGTATGACTTAATAATGCAAGAAAATGAGGAGACACAGAGAGGGAGAGTACTTGCCCAGGTCACATGGAAGGTAATTTGGTTAAGAATTAAGATCATAACTTTCAGATTTTGAAAAATATTGATGGACTGCTAACTATTATTCAATTATTATATGAACTATTTAGATATATGTATGTCCATTGTTAATTTTTTCCTAACAATAATTTTGACAAGTTGGAATAAATGCCATTATTGTATTAAAAAGACACAAGACTCAAAAATGTTAAGCAACTTTCTAATGTTATTTATGCATTCATTCAAAAAATAGTTTTTTTATGTTTGCTATGAGCTGAGACATTGGTGAATGTCTGTTTTCTATTGCTATAACTAAATTACACAGACTGGGTAGTTTATAGAGATAAGAGATTTATATGATTCACGGCTCTGAAGACAGGGAAGTTTGAAGTCGGGTGAGTACATATGGTGAGATCCTTCTGCTGGCAGGAGCTCTCTGCAGAGTCCCAAGGCAATAAGGGCATCACAATGGAGAGGTGATGAGCCTCCTAGCTCTGCTCTCTTCTCCTCTTATAAAGTCATAGTCTCATTAGATTAGGGTTCCACATGTCTGGTCTCATTTTAACCTTAATTCTCTCCCAAAAGTTTCACCTCTAAATACCACGGTTGGATTAAGATCTCACAAGAAGGATTCAACTTCAACAAGAGTTTCGGTGGGGGCTGTTCAAACATAGCTGTGACTTTTGCCCTCAAACAATTCTTTTTCTTTTGTGGGGGAGATAGCCATTGCATGGATAAACACACCCAGGAGCATATTACAGGGAGCTGCAATGAAATGAAAGAAGAGAGAATTATGTAGATTGAGGAAAGTCAACAGTTTCTCTGAGGAAATAGCATCTAAATTGAGAGCTGAATAAAAAACATAGGTACTATTAAAGTCAATTATAAGAGGAAACATGTTCTAGAAGAAGAAAGATATGAACAGACCCCCTGAAGAACTTGGTGCATTGTGGACCTGAGAAAGGCCCTTGTAGCCAAAGGGTACACTAGAGAAGGGAGTGAGTTAAAAAAAAAAACATGAAGGACATGAAGCAGGAGAGATAAGTAAGGCCAGGTCAGAAAGTGGCTGGATCTATTTTGTCCTAAAGCCCATCCATACTTTCTTTGAACACTTTTTTTCTGTTTTTGTTTTGTTTTGTTTCCGACCTATAAATCGATGCCAACAATTAGTCATTGCTTCAGAAGTGCGTGAAAAATATGTATGATTGTACATTCTTCAAAAGGATGGGATAAATAAAATGTTAAATGTACAAGCTAAGGGATGACAATGTTTCCTTTATGTGTCCTGTCCATCACTGAATGTGATTCACAGGTAGCACTGGACTTGACCCTGTCTACACAACAAGTCTGTCTAAAGCAAGAGGTAACCTGAAGGAATTGGAAAGGTCATGAACTGACCTTCCAAAAGGCCTTGCTCCCTAGATTTGGGGTTATATCATTAGCATCAGAGCTCTGAAATAGAGGAGATGGAGTGGCATGGGTGGAATCTAAAACTACGGTGGAGGAATAAACTTGACAGAGAATTAGAAAACACAGTTTCCATCCCTTTCTTCTTCCCTCCATGTGTCTACCCTTAAATTGGTTCTCAGTTCTCTCAGATTCTTCATTTGAAAACAGGGATTCCATTTTCACCAGGGGATTTCAATCAGAATTACATGGGATAATAAACACAAAGAACAAGATTCTTTGTGTGGTAAATATTGAGTGCTCAGTAAGTGGTCCCTCCAGTCCAGGGTTTCTCAACCTCAGCACTCCTCCTTTTGGGGTCTGGATCTTTGTTGTGGAGGCTGCACTGAGCATGACAGGAAGCTCAGCAACATCCCTGGGCCCTACCCACCAGCTACCAGTTATGCTCCCACCCCTAGTTGTAACAACCAAACAGATGCACAGACACACAGAGAGACTTCTGGGCTACAGGAAGAATGGGGGGTTGCTTTGATGGTAGAAATTTGGAACTTGAATGACAAGAACCAGAGCACAAGAAGAGGCAACTTTGGACTGATGCATGGTCACTGAGGATCCATGACATTAGGGTGACAGCCATGCTGGAGGCTCTCTAGAGAGACCAAGAACAGAGCATTCCAGACAGAGAAAGGCTGTGCACAAGGCACATGTACATTTATTCTGCTAGTTTTTAATTTGAAAAGTGAAATACAGATGACAAAGGAAACACTCAACCCTGTGACTTTTAAAAATATGTGATTCTTCTTGTGTGTGTGTGTGTGTGTGTGTGTGTGTGTGTGGTGCTGGGGATTGAACCCAAGGCCGTGTGCTTGAGGGGGGCAGGGGGGGGGGGAGCACTCTACCAACTGAGCTATATCCCCAGTCCTAAAAGTATATGATTTTTTGATGTAAAGTTTTTTGAGTTTTTTTTTTTTACCTTGGATATTAATGCTCTGAGAAGCAGGTGGCAAAGATCCTCTCCCATTCTGTAGGTTCTCTCGTCATGCTTTTTTTTTTTCTGTGCAGAAGCTTTTTAATTTGATGCCCCCTCACTTATTGATTTTTGGTTTAATTTCCTGCATTTTAAGAGTCTTGTTAAGTAAATTGGAAAAATAACTAAACAGACACTTCTCAAAAAGAAGAGATAAAAACAGCCAACAAACATGAACAAATGTTCAACGTCTCTAGAAATTAGAGAAATGCAAATCAAAACTACCTTGAGATTTCATCTCACACCAGTCAGAAAGGCAATTATAAAGAATACAAATAACAATAAGCATTGGCAAGGATGTGGGGGAAAGGTACACTCATACATTTTTGGGACTAAAAACTAGTGTGACCACTCTGTAAAGCAGTATGGAGATTCTTCAAACTCTAGGAATGAAACCACCGTATGATCCAGCTACCCATTCCTCAGTATGTATCTTAAAGATCTAAAATCAGTATAGTGTAGAGATATAGCCAATCAATGTTTATAGTAACACAATTCACACTAGCCAAGATGCGGAACCAACCTAGGTACCCTTCAACAGATGAATGAATAAAGAAAATGTGGTGCATACACACAATGGAGTATTACTCATCCATAAAGAAGAACAAACTATGGCATTTGCTGTTAAATGGATGGAACTAGAGACTATCATGCTAAGCAAAATCAGCCCCCAAAAGTCAAATGTTTTCTCTGACATGTGGAAGCTAGTCCAAAATAGGGTGTGGGGAAAAAAAAAAACAGAGAAAGGGAAACAAAAAGTGGTGTGTGTGTGTGAAATTCCATTAAAATATCTGTGGACTAGAAGAAGGGTTTGAGGGGGCAGGAGGAGGGGTGCAGGATAAGGTAAGAACAGTGGAATGATTCTGACCTAATTTTCTTATATACATAGATGAATATACCACAGTGAATCTCACCATCAAGTATATCTGCAAGACATTAACTAACTAAATAACTAACTAAATCAGTAAATAACAGAGAGATCAGTAGAGCGGAGGGAAGGGAAGAGAGAGAGGGAGAAGGGAGGGGAAAGGGGAAGGACTGGGGACTGAATTAGAGCAAATTATTTTCCTTGTTTTTGTAAGTATGTCAAAATGAATCCTAATGTCATGTATAACTAAAAAGAATCAAAAGAAAAGAAAAATGTCTGTGATTTTTGCAACTTTATGATGATTACAATGGTGAGAACAGGAGTCATGTCTTGGATGATTTTTGCACCATCACCAGCCTCTAGCAGGATGCTGGAGACCTAGCAGTCATTAATAATGGTCAAAGCAATGACTCTGAGGCTACCGGTGAGTCGTGTCATTATTTTTCATTTACATTGTGTTTTTCTAAAATTTCGAGGCCAAGAAAACATTGACTTTGACAGAGGAGGTCACATCTGTGCCATTTTGGCAAATCAGTCAGTGATATCAAAAAGGCTACTTAGCATTCTGCTGACAACTCACCCTGCTGGGTGGAGACAAATAGACTGTCCCCCACCTCAATGAGCACGTTTAGACAACCAGGGTTAGAGCTGCCATGTCTGCTCTCTGAATAGTAGGCACAGTTCATGCCAAATCCTTTATTCAGTCTCAAGGGCCAACAAATGTTTCTGAATTTCCACGTTTTGTGCAGGACAGGACCTGAAGGCCAGGTGACCTGGCAACTGCACAAGTTGTAGTGCAATTGTTTGCTTTTGTTTTCTCTTAAAAATCATCCGTTAGATTTGATTTTATGTCAGAAATGCACTGCCAGGTAGTTATAAGGGTGGGGGAGACTGGTGTGTCCACCAAAGGAATTGTCCCACGACTTCTAGCTATTTCTGCTATTTCTCTGAAATTCTACTTCAGTTGGCCTGGGTGAAAAGTCTGGATGGTAAAATGCAACAAGATAATCTTGAATGAGAACTTCAAGAATTTTAAGATGAAAAATCAGATGCCACCAAGAACGTTAAGTACCATCCATCAGTTTTGACTCTCTGCCTCCCTTTTGTTCTTTCCTTGGCAGGATCAGAATTCTAGGTCATAGAAGTTAGTGGAGTAGGGTTATAGAATTCTTTTTCTGTCGTTTGTTTGTTTTAATTTTTTTTAGCTGTTTATGGACCTTTATTTTACTTGTTTATACACAGTGCTAAGAATTGAACCCAGTGCCTCAGACATGCTAGGCAAGTGCTCTACCAATGAGCCCCAGCCTCAGCTCTATTCTAGAATTCTTTACTCTGAGCCACTGTGTTCTCTCAGTTGTCATAAAGACAGGGACCTTTCCTGTCTTTCAAAGGTCTCCTTCGTCTGAGTATCAAAATCAGGTCAATTTCACTGCTCCCCTCTCTCTTTAGTATGCTTCTCCATCATCCAGCACCCAGTTAAGATTTATCCAGAGCTCTCTGGTGATGTTAGGCCCTATAAAAGAAATTTATGTGTTCCATATGTTTGGTTACAGATGGGAAATGGGGATTCTGAAGGACGTGAAGGCGAAAATGTTTACACGTTGAACATTAGTTCTGAAGTTAGATAGCCTGAGTTTGAATCTTAGCTCTTCTCTTTGTTAGCTCTGCGACCTCAAGTTAGTTACTTACACACTCTGGTCTTCTATTTCCGAAGCAACAAAACCTCCCTAGTGAGGCATAAACGTGTGTAATAAATTGGGACACCTAAAAGGGATCGACCTGTGTGTAACCTGTAGTCAGCACCTGGTATGGATCAACCATTATTTACTATCAGATACAAAAGCGAGTCTTATGGGAGCACAGAGTTTTTCCATCATCTCAAATTGTAAGAGCTTTTCGGCCATCCACACAACTCCCACAAGAATGGCAGAATTGTTAGTGAGAACTAAGCAGCGGGTTCTCTAGGATGGAGCAATTGAGACTTACCGGGATAAAAGTGTTGATGGAAAGAGTGAAAGCCTCATGGATTAATTTAAATAGCCCAGCCCTTTCTGACAGTCTCTGGACACTTCTACTTGTATTTTTCAAGTAAAAGCTGAATCAGCCACTCAAAGTACACTTATTATCAAAAGTACAACTGTCCAGTTCAGTGAAGGCAAAGTCATAGATCTCCTGGGTCTTAAGCCATTTCTGTGAAATATCTGTTCCTTAGCTTTTTACTACTTCCTCCTCCTCCTCCTCCTCCTCCTCCTCCTCCTCCTCCTCCTCCTCCTCCTCCTCCTCCTCCTCCTCCTCCTCCTCCTCCTCCTCCTCCATTCTCTCTTTATCTCTCTCATGCAGTCCTAACTCACTCTAACCAGGTGTAGTTAGAGGAAGTGGAAATTTCCAGCACTTAATATCTGTTCAATTTTGTGAGCCAACAAAGACCTTTGGAATTCTGGTGTCAAAAGCAAAGGGATGTGCTCTCAGTCATACTTTTATAAATTCCTGGAGAATGCTGCTTCCCATCTTCATCCCCTTCTAGGGAGATATGATCCAGAGAACCCTGCACAGAGACAAGTCTCATTCTCCACAATTAGCTCTGAAGTACCTTCAGGAAATTATTTTCTCAGCTCATCTCCCTGCATTCCCTGTTTTGGATCACGAGACAATCTGTTTAAATGACTAATTACAGCCATCACTAAATGCTGTCTTTGACTACCCGCCTTCCCAAGTTTTACAGTTCTTGCTAGGCTTGACAGTGATGAAGCCATTTAACAGTCCAGTGCAGGCGGATGTTAAAAAAAAAAAAAAGTTTAAAAAAGTGACCATATGCGGTTCAGTTTCCTAACTTTCAAATTTCACACTTAACGTTTGTCATTCTGCTGGGCACCTGTTTAAATTCTATTTTAAAATGTTAATGTATGTTGTTTAGAATAAAATAAAAAAAGAGAGAGAGAGAGTTCAGGTTAAGTTG